GACATATGAGGGGTAGGTTAAAAGGGGAAGATGAGCCAGTATGCAGCAGCTGCTCAAATCCATTAGCTGCTTAGATCAAAATTTAGAAAAGGATTTATAAATGAATGCAGTGAATAGCTTCATGATTAAATTCTAGTTACATTTAAAGAATTGGTTTGGTTTTATGTCAGGCTAATTAAACTTGCTATTGAAGTGATGTAGGGATGTAGTTATGATCTCTATATAAAGCTTCAAATGAAAAATTTCTGTGACAATTAAATGTCAAGAAAAGATTTTCTTCTCTTCAGAAACTTGGGGAAAATAAGAGTCCTTTAAATGTTAGTATTTTTCCTTTTGTTCTGACCACTGGAGTCCTAAGAAACATTTATGTTTTGACCACAATAATTATGAGACATTATGGCCGACACTATCTTGACCTCTTACTAAGAAATGTATTTTTTTCCTGGTACTCTACTTATTTACATATTTATCTATTGTAGCACATAATTTTATATAGCAAGTCATATAATTCACCTTTGGAATGATGTTAAGATAAAAGTATTATTAAAATAAATATCATATATGTATATATATATATGCTATTTTTCACGTGTTAATATATATTGAGTGAAAAATCAATTGAAAAAAGCTTTAAAAGATATTAAATTTGTCTTATATTTAACTTAATTTTTCCACATACTAGGTATAACTTCCTATTGCTAAATCACCAGGAAAAGGTGCCTACACTTACTTACCATCATTCTCTTCAAAACCCAGAATCTATGACAATATTTTCAGTTTTTGATAATAGCCACAGTAATCTTTGTCTTGTCTCAAATTCATTTAGTAAATTTAACTTTCCAGGTCCTAACCATGTATCATCCAATTATTGTTTTAATTAAAAAAAAGATTTATCAAAATAATTAATATATTAAGAAAAATAAATATATATAAAAGTTACTGTAAGTCCCCAAATTCCAGATTTATAAAAAGATCTAATTTCCCTTAAAGTCTCAAACTTCCATTCAAAAAACTAAGAAAGAGGTTTATTTACTAAATTTGAACAATGAGAAGAAAGGCATAATAATTACATACTTATTTTTGTTACTAGTATTTACTTTTGTTATATTATGCAAGTATTAATAAATTAAATATGAAATGGTGTTTGGTGAAGAAAACTTAAGGACTTTTGTAAAGATTGTAATATAATTATAGTTTAAGAGAGAAATGGAAAATTAAATTGAGTATGCCATAATGAGAATATAATACATATTTATGTTATTATAATAGGAAAAGATTGAGTATCACTATAGTTAAATAAGATATATCATAAAATGGAGTTACATTTTATAAAATAACAACCTACCTTGGTTATGCAGATGAAATGAGTTAATGTATTTTAAAACATTTCTGCCAATAAGTATTCAATAAATACTGGGCTGGGCAATAGGAGGTTTATAGTTGTAAGCACAAAACTCAGGGTTTCTTATTGTATTATTATTTATTAATTATTGTATTATGTTCCATATGAACAACTATAAACCTTCTTTTCCCTACTCTTGTATAAGCTACTAATGTAAACTCAAGACTTTTGTAAAAAGTTGTTTTTAAAAATCTCTTTTACTAAGCTATTTTAGTAATGTCATCCTAACCACCAACAGAAATTATTTGAAACAATAGTATATGCACTTAAAGCGCCTAGATTTTTGTTTCTATAACATTATGAAGTAGCTGCATCTAGGCTTGACTTAGGGGGTGGGTAGTGGATCAAGATGTAATTAGAAGAAAGCTAGAATATTTTAAAATATATTTCTGGTTAATAAGAGGACAAAGTAGCCAGCATTAAGGGAATCACAGTAGACAAACTGTGACAATTTGCATATGCATGTAAACAAGTTGAATCTGCAAAAACTCATTTAAATCTAATGTAACTCAGAATCAGAGAGTTTAATATCATGCATGTGTGTGTCTATAGTATATATGTAATTTTCATGCAAAGGAAAGAGGACTCTAATAGGATATGTTTATATTTTATTTTCTTAAAAAATATGTATCTATTTATAATATAGATTAGTACCTTTTTCTAGAAATATAATTAGAAGAGACCCATCTAATGTTTATTTAACATTGTACAATAGGTCCTAGAATCACATCGTTTTAAGCAAATGTAATAACCCCAAAAAGCAAAAGCCTATATAAAAGCTATAGATTTAAGGTATCATTGATAAAACAAAAATAACGTTCAAATTATAAGAGGCTGAGTCTGGTAAAGAGGTATCATTTCTGAATGAAGCAACCAAAATTCAATTGGTTGATAATTCAGAAACTGACTTTAGATTGGATAATATGATCCTCTTTTCTATTTTATCTTTGAAGGTCATAGTAGAGAAACATATTTGATAAAGTTGTTATATATATATCTATATCTAAATATCTAATAATTTCAGCTTTAAAATGTGTCAAGAGTAATGATGCTTCTCCACCCACAAAAGCCTTTGAATTTTAAATATTCTATTAACAATGAGCAGCACATTAATGCTTTATGGATCTATGAGGCTGGACATAGAAAATCATAATATAAATGAAAGTTGCCACAAAGTTGGTTTTTTTTTTAATGTTACTTTACCTTTGTATCCTTTCACTTCCTTTCAGAGCCATTTTTCTTTTGCTCACCAATTTCCTCCCTCATTTTCTGCCCCTAACCACACAACTACCTTGACTCCTAGAATCTGATAGTATCCATGCTCAAGCCTAAGTATACTAGAAAGCAAGTTGATTGACCCTTCACTCTCTCTGTACCATCTATATTTGCATTTTTCTTCCCAAATATTATCTGGAAAAAAGAAAAAACTAAACCTAAAGAAATCAATTTTTATATCATCAGTATATACATGATATCTAGTCAGGGACTAATTTTGAGGCAGGAGTGGCCTTTCCTATGTAAATGACTGCCTGCTTCAATCAGGCATGTTTCAGATCTTATGCGTAGGCATGGCCTCCAGAATAGATAGAGAGATGATAGATAGATGATAGATAGATAGATAGATAGATAGATAGATAGATAGATAGATAGATAGATAGATAGATAGATGATATAGATAAATAACAGTGAGCTTTCCTTGTCTAGTCATAAACTGTATGTGCTGGTACCAACGTGCTCACTGCAGCTGGGGGTGAGTATATGATAGCTGTGACTAGGAATCCTAGGAAGGCACAGTCATACAGACATGCAGGATCTTGAATTTGGGTGGTGAACACACAATACAGATGATGTATTATAGAATCGTACACTTGCAACTTATATAATTTTATTAACCAATGTAACCCCAATAAATTCAATAAAAATATTTTAAAAGGCATGTAGGCTTTTCTAATAAATATATTTCTTCTCTTAAGCATGTAGAAAACTTTACCTATTTTGCTGCCACTGCTGATTTTGGGAGGAAAATAACCTATTTGATATACAGGCTACTGTGAATTAGTGTATGTTTCATATTGTATAGTGCAAAGAAAAAGGTATAAGCCAGTAATATTTGCATATCATGTTGTCTGAATTTGCTGAAAAGACTCTATTGAACAGAGAAGCAATTAGGAGGATTATTTTGTATTATTAAGTTACTTTTTAAATGTGTATTCTGAAAAGTATTAGGTTCTTTAATGCACCACATAATTATTTTCTAAAATAAAAAGAATATATCTAGGCTACTATCATGGCATATTTGGTGTATGTAAAATACCTTTATAAACTCCTTAGCCAAATCTACTTTGAAAGACAATATTTCGATTTTTCTAGGACCTAGATCAATGTTCTCCAAACAGATTCATTATCATGTCTTTCTTTCCTTTTGTCCTTCACACTCCTATAGTAGGGTGTTTGCACTCTGATTAATTAGAAATAATATGTGATGAAGATTGTATAGAGAAATCTTAATTATTCCATTCTTCGGGGTGTAATTTTAACTTAAAAATCATTTTGTGATGAATTATGTAGCCAATATAGTTACATATAAATTATTAACACAAAGATTCATGACCCTCCTATCTATATTTTATTATTTGTAATCCTCAAGAATTTAAATCAAGTAGGATTACTTACTAAGAAATAAAACTAAGATTTTTTTCACCTTGTACTCTATCCTCGATTTGGTGTAAGCCCTCATCACAAGTTAAACAACTGCAAGAGTTTTAAAATCAATAATTTGGTTAATTATATATATGATCTATTTTTAAAAATGTATATTATAATATATATGTGTATATATATTTATATATATATATATATATATATATATATATATATATATATGATCACACATGGTATATTTTCTCTAATAAAAAATTGGAACAACTGGTTAGGAAGTTCTAGTCAGAATCTGAAATATTAACATTTCAGAGGCATTTCTTTGGTTAGCTACCATAAGCAGAAGTTTTATACTATTCAAAAATTTTATGTCCAGAAGATTCTATAACAAATACTCTATAATAAACAGTAAAAAAATAGAGGCAGAAAGTAGGTATTTTAAAAAGCAGACAGAATTCAAAATCTATTTTTTGCTAGATTTCAAAAGATATTTAAATTCTAAAACTATCTGCTTTCATGAATAAGATTTTTTTTTTTTTATCTCCCAGGCTAAAAGGCTGTTTATTTTAAGAGGACAGCCTTGGCTGGGTTGCTCAGTTGGTTAGAGCATTGTCTGGATACACCAAGTTTTCAGGTTTGATCCCTGGTCAGGCATATACAAGAATCAACCAGTAAATGCATAAATAAGTGGAACATCAAATCAATCAATCTCTCTCTCGCTTTCTTGCTCTCTCCCTAACATCAATTTTAAAAATTTGAAGAGGGCAACGATTTCGGGGAATTTCAGAATCTCTCAGGAGGAAAGGCATTGTTTTTCTAGTTCTAATCCTTACTGAGATTTTTCTACTGTTTTAAAATCTGAGGTTTTATGCTTTTGCATAACTAAACTTGGAAATTAAATATATATACACACATGAAAAAACACACAAACTTTACTCACAGGCAAACTGAAGTATGGCCTCTCTACTAAGAACACTTCCCCAAGTGTTGGCTGCTAAACACTGGTAATGGCCAGAATCTCTTGCTTCACTTGGATTGCTTATAATGAAGGTCCCGTCGATCAAGCTGTAGCGATAATCACTTTCCAAATCAATTTCTGTTCCATTTCGAAGCCATCTAAGGAAAAATCAGAAGACAAATTGTGAAAATGATTTGAGACATTATAATACTCCCTGGAACTGTCAGAATTTCATTGAAGGACATTTTTAAGAGTTAAGAAAAATAAGTAACAGTGAATTTCTACCTGTAATTGGGGACTGGATTGCCACGAACTTCACAATTCAGTGCTACTTTCTTTTCATCAGAATCAGTTGGGAAAATTATATCATCTGGTTCTTGCACAAACACTGGCCCATAGTCCACACTTTCTGTAAGGACCAAGATAGATACACTTTAAAATTCCTTGAAATATCAAGACATGTTTTTTTTTTTTTCCTTAATTATGTTCGCATTAAAAATTCTTGCTCTTTCCATGTACTCAAAGGCATATTACTAAAAGAAAGGGTTAGCTATAGAGATTTAAATAGATTTTTTTGTAGTTGACTGAGAAGTCTCATAAAAATAGGATATATATATATAATGGAAAACAAACATTTCAAGCATTACTTTTGTATATTTTAAAATATATATCTTTATATTCATCTAAAGCAGAGTGTTATTATGTAAATAATACTAAACAAAAACATTATTTTAAAAATCTAAAAGTTTGTAAAGCTCTTAGAATGTTAAAAATAATATACAATAAAGAAAAAAGATATGAATTAATAGTGTTACTACTTGGAATCTACAGATATAAAAACATCAGCCTTTCATATATTCCTTTTTGCACTTATTCAATCAAGCACTACTTAGTGCTGATAATGCTGAAGTGTAGGGAGAAATCATATAATACAAATAAATATATTGTCATGGAGTAAATAAAATATGTCCTCAAAAATTTAAATAACTGAATAAAAATGTCAAAACTAGTGGTCATCAGTAAGTAAATTAGGTAAATAGGAGATCAAAAGAGAAAAGACATTAAAAAAGGAGGGCAAAAAGGAAGAGTACTTAAATTTACTAAGTGCCTACTGTATGCCAGACATTAGATTCTATCTCATTTAATTAGTTAATACTCAGAGAAATTCTATAATAAGGTAATTTTAAACTAACAAAACTTTCATGGAAAAGTAGAAATGAATATAGGCTCCATATGTCCGGTTGGGCTTGAGGAAGACGATTATGCTAGAGAAATGATGCGTAAATGTGCTGTGGGAGTACGAGTCATGTTAGTCTGCAGTAGTGTGAGAATTTACAGAATTATATGCGTACCTAGGATCTATAGTATCCTGAATTGTGAACCTAGGAAAAAAGTAAAAACTTTTTGCTTTATCTACACTAATAAAAGAGAAATATTCAAATTGGTGTCACTCCGCTATGCCCACCAGCCAATCAGAGTGACTATGCAAATTAACTGAACAAATATGTCAGTTAATTTGCATACACAGGCACGGAGCGCAGACTGAAGGCTCCGGCTGGAGTGAAGACTGAAGACTGAAGAGGGTTGGCTTCTCTGCTGAGGCTGGACCAAAGGCCTGGGTCCTGGGTGCTGGAGGAAAACCGGTGCCAGCAGCCAGGGGAAGGAAGGCCTATTGTGCAAATCTTTGTGCAATGGGCTTCTAGTTTTTAATAATCATGAATTCGATTGCATGATAACCTTAGATCAAGATTCTCACCGTGGTACATTTTGGGATATTCTGTGTTGTGAGACTGTCCTGTGCTTTGTTAGATATTTCCCATCATCCCTGGCCTCTATTCACTAGATTCCAGTAGCGCGCCTCCTCAACAAAATAATAACGTCTCCAGATACTGTTAAATATCCTTTGGGGTCAAAATTACCCTCTTTTAAAATAACTGCCTTAGGAAAATGAAGAGGGGAAATTTTAGAAAAGCCGTATTTCCAATGTCTGTACTAAACAATTCGAAGTTTACTTGATCTGTGGATAACCACGAGAAAATATCAAGAAAACTATGCAAAAATGTAAGCTTTAAAAAATTATAACTTAAAAAGATGTATACTTTCATACTTCAAATGTAGGTAAATTAATTTTCTTTATTTAAATGCATGATAAGTCTATTCTTTTGGGGCAAAGAAAATAAGTGTCATGATATTCTAAACATTCATCCAATAAAAACTGAGCACTCATAACGAGTAGATGATGGGAAGTATTTTCTTTGAGTCCTAGATAACCTAGATGAGGTTCTTTATTTTAACTCACAACAAAAAATATTATGAAAATAACTGAAATGTATTTCTCTACACAAAGTTATACCAATGTCACTGAAAACTTTTATTTAAAAATAAGGAAAACAAGTGACTGGATAAATAAATTACGAGAAAATTATTCTCAAAATATTGTAATTGTTTTTGCATCATAATTAATTTAAAAATTTGGCAAAGCACATGAAACCTCATTAAACTCTCAATTAGAGTTAAACTGCCCAATCAAGTTATGAAAAAATAATCACTTCTAATACACTGAAATGATTATTTATATACTAGAGGCCCAGTGCACAAATTCGTGCATGGGGGGGGGGGGGAACGGGACCACGGGAGGTTGGCCACCGGCCCCAAGGAGGGAGATAACTCTCGGCCCCCCTGGGAAAGCGGCCGTGTCCGCCACCACCAACCCCTGGTTCCATTGTCCCAGCCCAGGCCCAAAGACCCTGGCAGGGTCAGGAGAGGAGGCGACAGTTGCCAGGCCAGACGCAGAAGGAACGCATGCTGGATGCCAATGCCACCCTTGGCATCCCACCACCGAGCGGTTCCCCGCCTCCACCCCTCTTCCTTCCCTCGCCGCTGCACTGACACCGTGGGGGGGGCGGGCAGCCCCCGGGGAAGGGAGAGGATGAGAGCGAGACAAACCCTTGTGTCAAGGGCTGACCTTCAATAGATCACAGTAAGGAACCCGCTCTGCTATGAAACCCCGACCCAGAAACAGGTCTCTATGAATGGTTTAGCAACAGGGGCCAATGGGGGCTGACCGGCTAGGAGAAGGGGCCACAGGAGCGCACTGACCACCAGGGGGTAGCTCCTGCATTGAGCGTCTGCCCTTTGGTGGTCAATGCACGCCATAGCGACTGGGCGACTGGTCGACCGGTCATTCTGGTCAATCGGTCATAACAGTCGCTTAGGCTTTTATGTATGTATGTAGATTATAAATGCCTAGGATATATAAAATTAACATTTAATAAATGTATTTTATATATGTATACATTATCAAACTCATGAGCTTTAGAGTCAGACATACCTTGGTTGAAATTCCAGTACCATAATTTTCTAGCCTTGAGCTAACTACTTTTATCTTTTGCTGCTCAATTTATTAATTGTAGATAATAATGTCTCATTACAGTGCTATAATGAGGATCAATGGACATTAACACTTATAAATAAATACACAGTAACTCATTAGTACTCAATAAATGTATGTGCAATATGGTATGTAATATAACAACCATGAGGCCAGAACTAATGCCCCTCCGCAATTTTATAGATGACAAAACTGAGGCTGAAGTCAATTAACTGAATGTATATAGCAAAGAGATGATGAACCTGGAATACAAATCCAGGACTGTTGGTATCTAGAACCTAATTACCACAACTACAATTTACAAAGCACTTTCATATTATTTAATTCACTGAGCTGAGCATTATAATTATTTCTAATTCAACGATGAAAACTCTGAGGTTCTGAGAGACTTCTGCAAAATTAACCACAGGCTAAATGGTTGATTTCAACTAAGGTTCTTTGGTGTCAAATCTTATGTTCTGAAAAATGTCAAAACAGACAAGAGGAATAAAAGATTGTCAGTCTGGAGCATAGCAGAGGGGTACGACTTGGTAAATTATGGACTGAAAAACAAGTGACTAGTCTGAACAACATTTATTCTATCACTAGAGGCCCGGTACATGAAATTCAGCCTAGCCTGCACCCTCTCCAATCCAGGAGCCCTCGGGCGATGTCCAACTGCCAGTTTAGGCCCGATCCCTTCTCCCCCTGCCGACCTGGTCACCTGACACAAACTGCTGTTCAGTCGTTTGGTTGTCCCTCACTAACCCCCCTGCCGGCCTTATCGCCCCAGGCAGCATGCTGGTCATTACTGTTACTGTGATGGTGTCCCAGACAATTTGCATATTCTTCTATTATTAGTATAGATGACTATCCATACTCTGTATCTCTTTGTTTTTCATTGTCAACTCCAAAAGCATCTTAGCATGCACTCTCTCATCCTTTCTCTCCTTCTTTCATTTTCCTCTTAGAAATAACGTTCATTGTAAGGGGTGAAAAAGCATGTGTCTAGGTAGAGTGTACCAATTCCCAGAAAAGGGTAATCAATGATGATACTATTTCTGAGAATATTATTGATTTATCTATAAAAAGAAAAGGGTAATATGCTAATTAGACTGGATGTCCTTCCTGATGAAGCCAGGGCCCGAGGGAAGCCAGCCGGGTTCCGGGTGCCTGCGGGTGGCCAAAGGGAAGCCAAGCCCAGGTCCCGGGTACCTGCTGGTGGCCAGAAAAGGGAAACAGCCTGGGTCCTGGGTGGTGGAGGAAAGCCTGTGCCAGCAGCCAGGGGAAGGAAGGCCTACTCTTGCATGAATTTTTATGCATCGGGCCTCTAGTTCTTCTATAATCAGAGTACATCTATTGATAAAGATGATACATTTATTGCTTAAAGCAATATCCTTACACTTTGCAATTTTTAGCTTGATGGATCTGTAACTTAGGTAGATATACTTCAAAACTTAAATGATGGTAAATCATCACAAAGATCGTGATAATCAATAAATCAAAATCTTTACTTAGCATGGTAGAAATCTTTGAGATAGTTGTGTAACAGACAGATGCCATCACACACGTTAATTTTTCACAGGACGAATGTTTTTGAGAGTGTTTTTTCTTGAATGGACTTTTAATGAACAGACTACAAATATTTGTAAATGGCTGAACTTAAAATGCTAGTGGTTAGTGTCTGTGAAATATTAGATTCATTTGTCAAGTGTTTTTCTTCAGAAGAGGATTCAGTTTTGTAAAGATCTTTGTTTCTCTGCTACAAAGAATGATGAAATCAGCACCCTTTTCCTCACTTCCTTTATTTCCTAAAATTTTTCCCCCACTTTATTTCCTAAATTTTCTCAATTTTGTTTGTTAATCACAGTTCACATGGTTTCTTATTCATAGTTATTACCTACTATGATATTAAACATTTATTATGTCTTTTCATTATGGTTTTCCATTTCTGCTTCCTATTTTTCCCTAATTTAAAGTCTATATGTGCTACATTCCTTGTTATATGGTTAAGAATATCTGTTTGTTGTTTTTACAAC